TATATGTATTATAAATTAACTGATTTAAAATATGGTTTCTACGTTACACAGGAATTACCATGTTTCAAGAACCGACGCTAAAACTCAAATTTAATTATATAATTAAATTAAAAGCATTAGTTGTGTTTCATCTTATTTACCTGTGTATATATATATATTTACTGTATATATATATATATACTGTATATATATATATATATATATATATATATATATATATATATATATATATATATATATTGATGGATAGATAGATAGATAATATTAGTGGTAAGTATTTACGATTCCAATGGAATAAATTATGACCATGGAATATTAGTGTTTAAGTTTTCTATATATATATATATATATATATATATATATATATATATATATATATATATATATAGGTAAATAAATATATATATATATATATATATATATATATATATATATATATATATATATATACATAGGTATATATATATATATATATATATATATATATATATATATATATATATATATATATATATATATATACACACATACAGGTATATATATATATATATATATATATATATATATATATATATATTACATACATAAAGTAAATATATATATATATATATATATATATATATATATATATATATATATATATATATATATATATATAAGTTAAATGTTACGAACACTGGAATTAGACTCCATTTGTTTTCACTCTACCTATATATATATATGACCACCCACTCTGATAATTGACGAAGTCCAGATGAGAATTGAGGTTATCACACTACGGGTCGCATTGTTCTGTTGGTGGCCAGAGAAGAAGAGAGAATAGAAAAGAAAAAGAAGAAAGGAAATAGAAAAAAAAGAAAAAAGAGGAGATAATTTTTTTTTCTTTGAGCAAGATATTTTTTTTAAGAAACAAGGCTAGTCTGGTCACGCCCACGTTGTTGATCGGCCATTGGATGAATGTTAACGAGAGCCAGGTGGAAGTGATCATGTGATGCAGGGGGGAGGGAGGCCTGCTACTACTCCTTAAAGAGGATAGGTATAAGATGTTACTGCGAAGAAGTAGGAAAATCGTTGACGCCCTCTGAAGTTAGGGGTAAGAGAAGACTTCCAAAAATGGAAATAATAAATTTTTCCTGACCAAAAACAAAAGAAGGGGATTGTGGATTTAAAATTATCAAGGAATTGTCAGGGAACCTCAAACCCCAACAAAGCCCACCCCGGTTTTGGTCAGCGTCCATATAAGCAAAGTCACAGCGAGCGAAAATCAGTTTTCCCAGTTCAGTCCAGTTCGGTTCAGCTTCCAGTTCGCAGTTGAAGTGGGCCTCGCAGAGCTGACTTGAAAGATTCGCGCAACTTCCGAACTCATCTTCAATCCAAGAACAATTTATTTTTGAAGAGCGACTTAGATTCATACCACCAAAATAAGTTTTACGACTATCGCCTGAAGACACACCAAGAACCAATTTCTTAAAGAACGGACAACTTAAGATGTTAAAACTCACCTAACAAAAACAACGTGTCACGAATCCGTATAACGGGTCGGGAGATAGACGCGTCCTATGTATCCAGCAACCAGATATAAAGTATTGTTATCCTTTTTTTGATACCTTGAACTTTTGAGTTATTATTTTATTTTATTTTACACATATTTGTGCGATATAACCCTCATTTGAACTCAACTTGCATTACGGCCCCAACGACTGATTGATTTCGTCTGCCTAAGATCAATTCCCAACGTGGGTAGGCGCACTGGAGATCAACGCAGTTACTTCGGTAACCAGACGTTGGAAGCGAGTTGAGAACGACGAGGCTGATATCGGATCTGACCAGATTCCCACCCGAATCACCAAAAGGTTAGAACGTCACATTTGGGTGCCGCGACCAATACCAAACCAGTTGGTCGTCACAGGACGGGACAACACGACTGACGCAGACAGGCGGACATCACGTTTGGAGCGGCGACATCCGAACGAAGCAGCGAGGAGCGAGCGAAGGCTGCGGGACGTCACACAAGGATACATTCTAAAAGCTGGGCAGAGTATTGCGAGACAGGAGGATTTCTTTGGTAACCAAGAAAAGAATAATACTGATCATAACGTGACCTCTGTTCCCTTCCACGGCAGCGAATATTGGACGGTCTCCTCAAAGATGAAGAAAAAATTCGAGGAAACGGAGATATGGTTCTACAGAAGGATGATGAGGATATCATGGACCGAGCGTGTGAGCAACGATGAGATTTTGTAGAGGATGTGAACAAGGAGAAAGCTTATACTTAACACCAAGAAGAGGCAGATAAAATTTCTGCGACACGTAATGAGAAAGGAAGGCCTGGAGAATCTGATACTCAGAGGTCAAATAGAGGGAAATAGAGACAAAGGAAAGCAACGCATGATATAACTGGCGGACTTAAGCAATTGGGTGAGAGAAAGTGGTCTAAAGGGGGTGGCACAGGGACGAAACTTATTGAGAGCTACAAGGGATAGGGTGAAGTGGAGAGCCATGATCACCTACGTCCTGAAGGGACACAGCATATAAAAAAGAAAGAAAAAAGAAAAACCATTTCCTTCTCATAGACTGTATTTCCTTGCTCGAGATGAAATGATAAAAAGATTAATTTTAAATAGACATCCAATTTAGGTTTGAAATTCGATCATCTTGCTGCCCTGGAAGTGATGGGTTGTCAACTAGTATTAATAGCAACCGTTCTTAGTTCGAGTTCAAGCAATAAAAATAAAATGTTATGAAAAGTTTCAAAGTTCAAGTGATAAAAATATTTTGGGAAGAGGCTTCATTGACAAGAGAATAAAGATACGTGATTATAATTGTAAGTTTAAATGATATCGAAAGAGAGAAATAGTTCGCATGGTGTCAGAATTGGTGACGGGTTTCGGCGAGAAAGCGAACGTGACTTGTATGGCAGCTGAAGAGGATTTCTCGTCGAGACGAGATCTTCTGCTTATTTATGGGTCTCCGGAGACTCAAAAAAAGAACTTTTTTTTTTTAGTCCCAGGCGGTAGAAGTTTTTTTTTTTTTTTTTTGGCAGAAATCATTTCTTGATTTATTTTATTTTTAGCCAGAAGCTGTATGCAATCGATTCGCGCACAAATGCGTTTTTTTTTTTTTTTTTTCATTTCTGTCTTTAGCTCTTGGAAGTGTTAACTTCCGTTTTCGAAGCCTTTTTACACCAGAATGAGACACTAAATACATTCTTCGTTCTAGGCAAACATTTCCTCCTTTAGATTTCTTATTTCATCAGCAGCGAATATCTTGTTCAAAAAAATAATTTCTCTACCGATGTTCGTTATTTTTGGTACAACATGTATGCCTAGTTATTGAATTTTATTTCCTGAGTTGTGTAAATAAGGCACTTCAGTCGACTAATTACACGAACAATAGAGAACTGAGTAAACATGGAAGACACTTTTAAGACTTCACTAACAAATAAAGGAAATATTACTATGAAGTTTACGTCAATATTTATATATATATATATATATATATATATATATATATATATATATATATATATATATATATATATAAAAACAAAAAAATAAAAAAAATAAGTAATTCATCGAGTCTAGAAGAAACCTCAACAGAATGCACTGGACGGCCGTTTGGTCCTATATTTGGGACTGATCAGCAGTGAGCATCCACTACCGAGAATTGAAACCCGGACAGTTACGATATGAGGCAAACGCCATACCAACTGTACCAACGGGCCTCGGCGGCGAATTGGACTCAATTAGCGCCGCTCGATCCTCATATTCCGTGGTGGAACTCATCCGAGTTTCTCTTTACCAATAGGACTGTGCCCCCACGAGGCACGACTACTATCCCCAAGCCGCTCAGTCCAGAGCATTAGAAGCCGGTTCAAGCAAGGATATACAGATAGAAATAATTAGCAGAATTTGAAATAATCATAATTAAGTAATTCATCGAGTCTAGAAGGAACCTATATATTGAAGAAATCCACAAAGCCAAAAAACAGACACCACCAATAACACTTCTAACAAAACTTACACAAAATTCATAATCCTGCCCTATAAAAAGCTGTCTACCAAACTTGCAAACAAATTAGACATCCCTAATAATAGGATTGGTACACCACTTCCAAGACAATCGGAAATATAATTAGGAAGAAAAATAAACCCAACATTGATTCAAAGTTCTCAGGGACACATCGCATCGTGGATAAAGGCGTTGGTTAGATCCAGTGACAGGACAGAAAGAGTGTGGGTTCAATACCTGGTTAAGGCGGTGGAGAACTTTGACAGGAGAATTAACAGGAGATAACTGACATCCATTAGACATGGCACGTGGAACTAGAACAGTCTACCCCAGTGAGCGAAATAAAGGGTTCAGGTCGACATTCCGACTACCTGAAGAAGGCCGGAGCGTACAACGGCCGAAACGTTGTAATAAACATGGCGCCAAAGATGAGGACAATAGTCCGAATAATGTAAATAGTGTAAATAAGGAACGGTTTATCTTTGCTTTTGTTTTTGTTTTTTTTTGTTTTTTGTTTTGTTTTTTTTCGTAATGGAAAAATCGTTCAGAAAGAGTGTTAATGTTGACCAATATATAACAAGGAAACAAGAGTGGAAATTATAGCCGAGACGTGAAGAGTAAATAACGAACAGTCAGCCATTGATTTTTTATGGTAGTTCATAAAGGAAACTAAATAATAATCTGTACAAGTATGGCCAGAATGTAACAATATATTAACTAGACTTACAAGTTCTTTGACAAAATACATTAAGAACTTTGCGTTGCTATGGGATTTCTGCTGAGCTATGATTCCCGGGACGGATATTATACAGTTTTTTTTTATTTTATTTGATTACCGTCGCAGTTCCTTTTCTGATGTTTACATCACTGTAATAGCAGTTTCCAAGTTAAGGTATTTTGTTTTTACTCCGAGGCTTCATTGATATTTCTATCAGTTTTAGATAGATAGATAGATAGATAGATTGATTTGAACAGTCTGAGATAACCTTTTATAGTCTGATAGATAGATAGATAGATAGATAGATAGATAGATAGATTTGAACAGCCTCAGATAGATAGATAGATAGATAGATAGATTTGAACAGCCTCAGATAGATAGATAGATAGATAGATTGATTTGAACAGTCTGAGATAGCCTTTTATAGTCTGATAGATAGATAGATTATTTGAACAGTCTGAGATAGAGCCTTTTATAGTCTGATAGAGAGATAGATAGATTGATTTGAACAGTCTGAGATAGCCTTTTATAGTCTGATAGATAGATAGATAGATAGATAGATTTGAACAGCCTCAGATAGATAGATAGATAGATTTGAACAGCCTCAGATAGATAGATAGATAGATTTGAACAGCCTCAGATAGATAGATAGATAGATAGATAGATAGATTTGAACAGCCTCAGATAGATAGATAGATAGATAGATAGATTTGAACAGCCTCAGATAGATAGATAGATAGATAGATAGAGCCTAGATAGATAGATAGATAGATAGATTTGAACAGTCTCAGATAGATAGATTTGAACAGTCTCAGATGAGATAGATTTGAACAGTCTCAGATAGATAGATGATAGAGACAGATCAGATAGATAGATAGATAGATAGATTTGAACAGTCTCAGATAGATAGATAGATAGATTTGAACAGTCTCAGATAGATAGATAGATAGAGTAGATAGATTTGAACAGTCAGATAGATAGATAGATAGAACCTTCAGATTGAATAGATCTAGATAGATAGATAGATAGATAATAGATAGATTGATTTGAAAGTCTGAGATAGCCTATAGATAGATAGATATGATAGATAGATAGATAGATTTGAACAGCCTCAGATAGATAGATAGATGAGATTTGAAACAGCCTCAGATAGATAGATAGATAGATAGATAGATGAACAGCCTCAGATAGATAGATAGATAGATTTGAACAGCCTCAGATAGATAGATAGATAGATAGATTGATTTGAACAGTCTGAGATAGCCTTTTATAGTCTGATAGATAGATAGATAGATAGATAGATTGATTTGAACAGTCTGAGATAGCCTTTTATAGTCTGATAGATAGATAGATAGATAGATAGATTTGAACAGCCTCAGATAGATAGATAGATAGATAGATAGATTTGAACAGCCTCAGATAGATGAATAGATAGATAGATAGATTTGAACGTCAGATAGATAGATAGATAGATGATTTGAACAGTCGGCCTAGTCTGATAGATAGATAGAAATATTTTCAGATAGATAGAAGGATTTGAACAGTCTGGAGATAGCCTTTTATAGTCAATATGAATAGAAACAGCTTCAGATAGATAGATAGATAGATTGAACAGCTTCAGATAGATAGATTAGATCTTGAACGCAGATAGATAATAATAGATGGATAGATATTGAACAGTCTGAGATAGCCTTTTTAGTCTGAGTAGATAGATAGATAGATTTGAACAGCTTCAGATAGATAGATAGATAGATAGATTTGAACAGCTTCAGATAGATAGATAGATAGATTGATTTGAACAGCTTCAGATAGATAGATAGATAGATAGATAGATTTGAACAGCTTCAGATAGATAGATAGATAGATAGATAGATAGATTTGAACAGCCTCAGATAGATAGATAGAATTATTCCTTTGTCGTCATTGTACAGACATGCTTCACGGCTATTGATGAATAAATATTCGGAAGGGGAGCAATGAAGCAATATCACAAAAACGTCACTTATTTCTTTCATCTTGCGCAGAAAATATTCTTATTGGACACAACTTCGCATGCCAGTGTGGTCGAACATTTGGCCAATTTAGGTTTCAATACATATAGTTAATAGGAAGACCTTTTATGCGCAAACACACACACACACACTCACACACATAAACAGAACCGCTTGAAGAATGGTCATTATCAAGAAACTTCGAAATCGGGTAAAACAACAACAAAAATTTGATATTAAATTTAAGTAATCATTATATATGTAATATATAATTATTTATTTAAAAATTATAACATAAATATGCTATAAAATCACTACAAAAATAGCCATTTTGTTTCAACACCTCTTGTGTCTTGTGAAGTGTAGATTGTAGATTCTACAATCTACATTCAACATCTTCACTTGATAGACACCAGAGGTGTTGAAACAAAATGGCTATTTTTGTAGTGATTTTATAGCATATTTATGTTATAAATTTTAAATAAATAATTATATTCGTTCTACTCTGTATTGAGCACTCTTTTAAGAATAGTAATTGTTGGGTATTGGAATTTATTCCGTATACACCAATCATATACTTGTATATATATATATAAGTGTGTGTGTGTGTGTGTGTGTGTGTGTGTGTGTGTGTGTGTGTGTGTGTGACATATTCATTTATGCAGCAAGTATTCGTCCAAATAGATTTTATTAAACTGAACCGACATGGTCTTCCTGTTTAATATATTTTTATTATATTTTTCCAATTTTTCGAGAAAGTTTTTGAGTCCAATCTGAAATTTATGTTGTGTTATTGTTTTGTTGCATTACTTTCGACTATCACAATCATATTCAAGAAACATTTGGTCTCTATTTGGTAGTTAGAATTCCTTTGCTTTGTGTACTACACAGACACTACATTGGGTTAGGATTAAAAAAAAATGACTGAGATGTTTGAAATCACTTAACAAAAAAAAGAACACATGAAGTTCGGACTGTTTATCAGGCCTCATGATTGCGTTTAGCATGAAACAGACTGTCACCTCTAAGTGTTGACTTCAATGTACACTTTTATATTTACATACGCTCTATCTCTGATATTGAGCACTTTATCCCATAAATATAGCACACCTTAAGACTATATTTATGCATATTTAGCTTCTACATTTATAACACATAATGGACATACAAAAATTTGAGCACGACTACCCCCTAATAATCATACCCACCCCATCCGCATATAAGCTGAAATTAATTAAAAAAAAAAAAGAAATCTTAATCAAAAGAATAAGACAGAAAGCGCATTTCTTTTTAAAACAGGAACTTTAAAATAATACCACACCCAAGGAAAAATACGGCTTCAAGACGAAACAAAATGTCCCCCTCAACAAAAAGAACTAGACGACTTCGAGAAAGTCTTAACTAACTTAGTAAGAAACATAAAATTCAATAAAAAACAAAAAAAAAAACAAGATGCCTTCCAAAAAGAACTAAAAGAAGATATAACTAAAACAAGCAATTCAACAAACGTATTTATCACAGCGGACAATAGTATAAATTTATATGAATTTCGCCCCCCCCCCTACACACAAGAAATTACTCAAGGACAATATAACTAAAACATACAAAAAAATGCATCAAAAACAACAGAACACACAGGAAGCTAAAATAATCGTCCTAAAATTAGACCTAGATGAACAAATAAGTTGAAAAGGAACAAGTATTTATCTCCCTAAAAGACCACAAAGAAAATTTCAAAACCAACCCAACATGCAGACTCATAAACCCAACTAAAAGTGAACTTGGTAAAATAAGTAAAATAATACTAAAAGAATTAATTCAGAAGAAAGAAGTTAGGATTAAATCAGTTGAAAAAACACAATAACAACTACAGACTGGTTTCCGCAACATAAAAAACAAAGATAATTAAAAGTTTATACAACTAGGCATAAAAAAATTATACCCTTCTGTAACAGAACCCTTACTAGATAAGGCCCTCATTTTAGCTCAAGAACAAGTAAGAATAAACACAAACGAAATCACTACCATTTAACACTCCCCTAAATCACTTCTATTCGACAATGAAGACGCATGGATAAAGGAATATTTGACGATACATTGGGAAGCTATGACGGTGTTTAATTCGAAGTAATAGGTATACTTTTTATTACAGGAACTGAGTAAAATATTACATAGAAATGATAGAAGGCCCTAAAGGGGCGACGGTATCATGATCTTAAGAAAATATAACAAACAAAACACAGACAAAATTAGAAAAGCAATAATAAAGATTTTTAAAAAATATGGCGTCTTCCTTGATGAATTTCAACTTAACATCAAGAAGATAATTAAAGAACTATAAAGGATTATTATAAAAATAAACAGACATAACATGTCTATATTATTCAATGAAAGATATTTGAATGAAGATATGGTGCCTATATATATATATATATATATATATATATATATATATATATATATATATATATCATTATTTATTTAAAAATATGATTCCATCGCTACATAAGAGTTCACATGTTTCAAAAAAACAAGAGCCAAAAACTTCAATATAATTATTTGAATTAAATTGAATTAAAGTACCAAGCGAATTTTTACCAGAGTAATTTTAATTTTAATAATGAATATGCTTACAAAACGCGAAAATTTCAAGAATTAGTTATTCCCCCCAAAAAAATTTGCTTGAAGATGGAACAGAGTTGGAATCAAATTTTTAAATAAATAATTATATTTAGGCTCTACTTTTGTATCGAGCACTTTTTTTTAAATAATACAAAAATACTAAAGAACTATTATTTACCTAACGAGTTCTTTCCTATTTTCTGTATATTTTTACACACACACACATATATATATATATATATATATATAATCAGACAAAGTGGGAAAGGTTTTTATTGATAAAGTTTTTATTTGCATGCATTTGTCATTTAAGGGACACACACAATAATATTTCTAATCAATAACCTTTGAAGGGACTTGGAATATAATAACCTTGCTGCCTACCCAATAACCGCTAGGATAATATTGTAAACCGGAAATACCTGTCCTTGCTACCCACAATGCCCCATTGATCAGAATATATAAATAGTCGAGCCACCATACAACACCCATGCCATGAAACAGACTGTCTTCCGTCGGAGCTTAGATCAGCTTCCAGTTTCAATATTTACACAGAGCACATTTACCCATAAATCTATCACACCTTAAAACTATATTTTTGTCGCATATGTGAAATATACCGGTAGGGGGGGGAGGCACTGGACAACGATTAGAAATGAGAAATCGGCGAACCAAGATCGAATTCCAGTCGGCCTCATTACATTCACTTACGCAGAAATACACCTCCAGCTATGGGTTAAATATTAATTATTTTTACCCTCAATATATTGTTAATGTAATATTCACTCGCAAACAAAATAATTGTTCATACAATCCAAAAATATATATTTTGGCTTTAAATAACTCACAGAATGGTGATAAACCGTAAAAATAAAAATAAATCAAATTTCTTGGTTGAAACCATTTTCAAAAAAACACTCAGCTAGAATCATATATATATATATATAGTCATCCACAGACAGACAGTAGTGCAGCTCGTCAGTGTGGCCAGACGTACGGTTGCCTCTAACTAGGATCGAAACCCTACTGAATCGGCGTCAGTCGGGATGCTACCACCAAGCCGTTGGTTCACGGCAGTGATGAAAGTGAATTTAAGCGTATTTATTTTTTAGGTAAACACACAGTGACTGAGAAAGCTCGATTCGATTTACCGAAGAGCCTTGTATTATTAACCGTAATAGTCACTGCTTACAAACCCATACCTCCTCCCCAGAGAGCTCAACCGAAATAAATTTTTCAAGAGCATATATATATATATATATATATATATATATATATATATATATATTAAAAAGAAGTGAGAAATCACAAACTATTTTGGTTATAATGTAGGTTTTTTAAAAATATACAGCGTGTCCATAAAGTTCGGGTGCACTTTAAAAGACTCATAACGTTATTTGTATTTGCGATAGAAATAATTTGTAAAAAGGATTAGAAACAAGTAAATCTATATTTTTTAAGGTTTTATTGAAATTTTATTTAAGTTTATGGGTGCAACACTTTCGTCTCTGATACATGGCCTTCTAGACCGTGGCTTATCATTTAAATTTTTTCATCCATTTAGCAATAGTGTTCTTATAAGGTGGTTCTTTATTGTATTCAATTTTAAACTTTCTTTGTACAGCAATAGTAGATTTCAGTTCAGCCAAAGGACACAGTTTACTTTTTCCTCAGTTGAAGCCATGGATCAAATTGATTATGGAAAATAGAAAATATTTTTTTTACTTATCTGAAAATTGTTGCTAATTTTGTGGTAAAGAATTATTCATTAACTATACCAAAAACTAGGTACATTAAACTTTATAACATTTTTTACAGATTATTTCTATCGCAAATACAAATAAAGTTATAAACATTTTAAAATGCACACGGAATTTATGGACACCCTTTATATTTCACTTTATTTTCCATATTTTTGCAAAAATATGCAAAATAAAGTGTAATATGTATTTTTTTAAAATCTACATTATGTTAAAAACATTTGCGGTTTCTCACCTTTTTTAAAATATACACATTTCTCTCGTTGGAGCAACTATAAGCTCTTTTTTTATATATATATATATATATATATATATATATATATATATATATATATATATATATATATATATATCGTTTCATCCCTTATTTCTGTATATATATATATATATATATATATATATATATTGTTCACGAATAAGTGATGAAACAATCTTATTCAGATCTCGGCTCAAAATATAATCAGTTCCCAAATAACAGGATTCATTTTGGCAGACCATATTGGTAAAGATGCGAATTTTTTACCCTCCACTCGTATATATTTCTTGCTGTTCTTTCTTCTTATTTTTTTCTATATATTATTACCAGACATTTTCATTTTTTAAACCTACTCTCATTTTATTCGTGCTCTCCTTCATCCTTTCCCTGCTGTCTGCCGCTAAAAGTCTGAGACCTTTTTATAATGACGGCCCAATACGAAATTTTATACATCGCTTTTCAGCTGGCAAATATGGCGGAAAAGTGGCCGTGCTCTTTACTGTTTCAATAGCACTGACCGATTCACGCGAAACAAAAGTGGAATATAACCTTTGAATTCCTTTGTTGCACGTGTTTTATGCACTCCTCGGGCTGAAACCAATCGAACAGTCTGGCGATGTCAAAATGCCAAATGTTAATATCGTCGCTGTGTGAAAAGCAAAAGGATTTGACGGTCAGTAACGAATGCTGGGAAGCAAGTAAATATCAACTTTTTCTTTTTTTCTTTTTTCGAAGCGAACATACCAATTTAAGCTAGAATTGTTTAGGATTGAAGTAAGGATTTTGTTTTAGCTATCTTCCTGAATTTGGAGGCTCGACTGATAAAAAAAAACAGCTATGTGACATATTTCCATTGATATAAAATTTATTTTTATTTTTAAAATATAAATTTCAATGTCTGTCAATTAATTCACCCCAAATAAAGGGATAATGTCACTAAGACATTATCCCCTTGCTGCTGGGAGGGAAAGTAAATGAAAAGACTATAAGGAACCAGAAATATTTTTTGTGATATTTTTAGAGTAATTTAGTATGTGTTTTTAATTTCCCATATATGTTTAGAAAGTATTGAGCTGTTCGCGTGTTTACTATTTGTAAAGTATATTTTCTGTTAGTAGTCGCTATCTTTCCAGTATCCTTCAGTCACTCCCAGGTATATTTCTTTCCTTCGTTAGCTGCTGATTTTACAGTGGATTGGCATATTATATTGTTCTGCAAGTAATTACCATTTAAGAGGCATTCGTTTCGTACTCTGCAGTTACAATGTGGATTTGATTTGTGTGGCTGGTTTGTTGGTTATGTTTTGTTTCAACAAAAACCAATAACTTAGACAGAACAAAAAGTTAAACAACCCCCGAGAGAAAAAAGTAAATAAGTAAAATAAGCAAAAATTTAAATAAATTAAGTAAATAATAAACAAATGAAAAAAAATTACGAATGCTCTCATAAACACGAGAAAAGTAATATTAATAAACAACATCAAATAAATAATCAATAATAAATATTGAATGATAAGTTAATAAACAACACTATAAAACAGCTACAAATAACTGCATTCGGATCAACAATAGTAATAGCCCCTAGAATAATTTGAAAATAACCGTTATCGCCTAGCCAATAACCATCGGTTATAATACAATAGACATTGCTACCCATAATGCAACCATTAACCAGCATATATAAATAATCGAGCAAAATATCACACGGCCTGAAGATTGCCTTCAAGAACCAAACCAACTGTCGCTACTCTGTGTTGTCCTCAGTGTTCATTTTATATTTTATATTTACATACGTTCTATAGCTGTACCCGATACTGAGCAATTTCACCCATAAATATAGCATAACTTTAAACTATATTTTAACACACGCACTTATATATATATATATATATATATATATATATATATATATATATATATATATATATATATATATATGACCTACCAAAGATGATATGTACCTCCCTTTAAAGCAATCTTTGTGAACTTAAACTTATCCCAGCATCACTTCCATTTTAGTCTTACGGCCATATCAACTTGAAACTCCAGTTCCTGTATGATCACGGAAGTTAAGCAACGTCGAGCCTTGTTAGTACCTAGATGGGTGACCGCTTTGGAATAGCAGGTGCTCTAAGCTTGAATGTGTGGGTGGTGTAATGGATAATGGCTCGGAATTGTTAAACAAAGAGCCAAGTTCCAATTCCAGTTGGGTTCGATATGTTCACTTCCATGCAAATACTCATGGGAAAGGTAGGAAACCACTTCTTCTCCCCCAGCTATGGGTTAACTAATAAGAATTGTATCGCTAAAAAAAAACTTATCTGATTGGTTGCTAAAGACTGATGACATACAAATTATTTTTGAATTATCCAAAATTGATAAATTCCATATAAGAGAGATTCCATATAATTGAGATAAAAATAGAAAATAAGAATAGTATAATAATATTTTGCTCTACTTTGTATTGAGCATTTTATAACAAAAAAGTAAATGCTATTAACTGTGTATTTTACTTCATCTGTTCTTTCACTTATTTGTATATATATATATATATATATATATGTGTGTGTGTGTGTGTGTGTGTGTGTGTGTGTGTGTATACAGGGTGTCCATAAAGTTCGTGTGCACTTTAAAAAAATTATAGTTTTTATTGTATAAGTGGTAGAAATAATTTGTAAAAAGGATTAGAAAGAAGTAAATCTACCTTTTTTAAGGTTTTATTGAAATTTTATTTAAGTTTCCACATGTCCTGCATCAAAGGGTAATACGATTTTGCAGTTCACATTTACCAATTGATTTACCGCAATGCCTGAAATGACATTAGTTATTTTAGCTTTACTTAAAACTAGGTACATTACACTTTATAACATTTTTTACAGATTATTTCTATCGCAAATACAAATAAAAGTTATATTTTTAATTGCAATATATATATTTTGAACAACAAAAAAATAAAAAAAATTAAAATCTTTAGACACACTGGGTTGTAGATTAATATTCTTTCGTTTTTTTTATTATTATTCCATTTAGATTCCTCGACTAGTTTCGACCAAAATGGCCATCATCGGGAGGAGAAATATTTCTACTTGTTGTTAGCACTAAACTACAGAAATGAATATCTTGCTGGAGAAAATGAACTTTTGTCTGTAGTTTTCATTTGTTTTGTTATTTTTTATCTTTTTAACATGAATCTTTTAACATTCCTTGTGTTGGTCAAACAGTCTCTTTTAAGTTGTTATTTGAGATAAGAGCTGGACAGATACACGTTGCTCTGAATTCTCTGGTCAGTTTGACAGTTTTATTGGTCCTGGTGAGGGGATGTGTCTCTGTTTAGTGTTTGTGTGTGTGTTATTTGGTTCTTAGGGAGTGAGTGAGTATTATATGTGTAAGCGTGTATATTCGTGTGGGTGTGTGTATAAGTGTGAGGCCTCAACACCTCCGTAAGCATGTCTATCTTGTGTGGGTGAGAAATGTGGGTAGGTTTTGATTTGTTGAGTTATATACTGGTACTATCTACATTGTTAAATTTATGGTTTAGCCCGGCTGGATATTGTGTTTTTAGACGTTGTATCCACTTATTTTCATGGGACTCTAAAATCTTTCTAATGTTATCTGCTCTCAATTATAGTGAATTTGGCATGGGTTTTGAAATCATGTTTTTCCAGACAGAAATGTTGTTCTACAGGTAATAATTTTTCATGGGGGGTCGACTTAATTCGATTATGATAATTATTAATTCTGTAGTGAAAGGTCCATTCAGATTTTCCTACATATTGTTTCTGGCATAGTGTGCATTCTAGGAGGTAAATTATGTTATGACTTCTACAGTTAGAATCGTGGTAGATTTTGAAAGTAGATTTAGTGATTGCGCTAGTGAATGAATTCGTGTTTTTAATATGGTTGCAACATAAACTTCTTTTGTTGTTACATGGTTGGGAAAATCCTGTTGTTTTTGTTCTTAGTTTATTACGGATTACCTTGTCCCCTGAAATGTGGTTACTACCTATGATTTCTTTTAGGTTCTTAGGTCTACGATATGCAAGAAGGCCGGGTTCCTTAAACAGTTTTTTTAGGTCTGATTTGAGATGTAGTATTTCCCAGCGACGTTTGATTATTTGGGATAGTGGAGGCAGAGTGGGATTGAAAGTGGTTACTAGAGGGATGCAGCTAGATTTATTTTTAATCTTGTACATTAGGGTGTCTTCTCTAGGTGTGGAAATTGCTTTATTTATTTGTTCCCTGATTAGGTGTTGTTTATAGCCACGTGTTGTGAATTGATGCTCCAGATTTTCAATGTGTTTATTTAATTCTTCACTGTTGGAACATATCCTTCTGAGTCTAAGTGCTTGTGAATAGGGAAGGTTCTCTTTCAGGTTTTTAAGGTGGGAAGACTTAAAGTGTAGATAGTTGTGGGTGTCGGTGATTTTAGTGTGTAGTGTCGTTTGTAGATTCCTGTTTTCATCTATGTAAATGCGGGTGTCTAAAAATGTTACTGATGTTGTGGATTTTTCATAGTCAAACTTAATTGAGTCGTGCACTGCTTTTAGGGTCATAAGGAATTGGGTAAGTTTGTTATCCCTACCTGTGTATACAAAGAATATATCATCGATATATCTTGCATAGAATACGCAGTCGCTACCAATGATTGGATAGATATAGGTCTCCTCAAATTTTCCCATGAATATTGGAGCATATGATGGAGCTGCAATGGTGCCCATGGCACAACCTCTTATTTGAAGGTAGTGTGCTCCATTGAAGTTGAAAGTATTCAATGTAAGGACATGCTCCATGAGTTTATGATGACTTCTGCGGGGGGTCTTGTTTTCTTCTTTTAGTAAGTGCTTCCTGAAGGGCGGTTAGCCTTTCGATGTGTTTAATGTTCGAATAGAGTGACCTAGAATAGCATTCTCTGGAACTGTTTGTATGTGATTAATTTTGTTCAGTAGATCTGTTATGTCTCTGATGTAGAATTTTACTTCCTTAGCTAGCAGTTGTATGTAATGGTCTATGTATTTGGAAATTTTTGTCGTGTGGAAGTTGAACGATGAAATAACCGGCCTTACTGTGTTGTTGTTTTGTGTATTTTAGGAAGGAGATAGAAACGAGCAGGTGTAATGTTTGTGGGTGTAAGTGCTGTGTATGTTTCCTTGTCGATTAGATTGTTGCGAAGCATTATGTTTAGTGAGCTAGTTAATTCTTTTTGGTATTCGGGAAGGGGATCTCTAGGTAGGCTTTTATAGGTTTCTTTGTCGGCTAGCTGTTTGTTGGCCTCTTTAATGTATTCTTCGATTCCCCAGATCACTGTCGCACCCACTTTGTCCGCCTGTGTTATGGTTAGGTCATCTCTATGTGTTAGCGTATCGAGGGCTATATATATATATATATATATATATATATATATATATATATATATATATACCTGGTGTAAGAGGAAAATTGTCCAAATCTTGTAAGGACATAATTATACATTCCACAAAATGGTTTATATCTAAAAAAAAAAAAAAACCACTAAACTAATTAAGTTTCTTTATTCCAGGTTTTCACGTAAGATGTCTAGCTATCTTGACACAAGAATCACTTCATAACCTTCAGATCCTTAGCTATGATTAATTAATGATGAACATGTTATTTTCGTTTATGATCGATTTTGTCACCATTCTTCTGTTAAGTGTGGAGAGTAATTATACATTTTTATCGCTCAAAGGAGACTCCAATAGTGTTATCATAACGTCTGAGAATACCAGGAAGATATATTTAATCAAAATAAAATGATTCAGAGCTTAATCTAACAATTGGGCAATTTTGTGCTGTTACACGATTTGGACAATTTTGCTGTTACATCCGGTATATATATATATATATATATATATATATATATATGAATAGTCCATTATTTTTTTTGTCTTTTATCCCAATTACCCGCCCCCAGATATATATGAATCCTATAAGTTTCTAACGTGTCATGTTGGCATTGTGTCGAACCTTTTCAAGCGAGGAATTCGTTATGTATCTAACTGAAAAGAAAAATTGAAATCTTGTTTCTCGATTAGTCTTTCAGCAAACAAGGAAATATATATATATTTGATTTCTTTTCTTGCTTGACCTTGGCTTGCTTCCAATCCACCTTGGCTGTAAAATCTGAAAGACAGTGTTTGTATGCCAGTGTCTCTACAATTTATTTAACCTTTGCCCCTGCCCTAGTGCTTAAATAATAAAATAAATTTCTCGTACTAGGAATAGTTTAGTTTTGAACTGTTTTTATTTTATTTTTTATTTTTTTTGTTTTTTTAAATTTATGACGTGTGGTAAGATAACCTGATTACCTCCCTTGTTTTATGATTTGTATAAATAAGTCACGCCGTCTTAGCAAGGCTCTTCAGTTACGTTCAAAATGGTTTGCACGCTGCAAGGGAAGTTCTTTGTCCTTGAGGTCTCTTCTGTTTGTAGCAATGTGGCGCCGCCGTTGACGAAGGCTGAACAATATGTGTTCCACTGCTTGCTAGGTGTTATAAGATTCGTGATTTGGACGACACGTCTGAAGGGATTCTTTGGAGGCGAGAAGTTCACTTCTTCCCAACTGATCTTGTTCTTTAAGCATCAGCTTAAAGTCAAGATAAGGACGTAAAGGCAGGGGATCACTTCATCAGAATTGAGGCCTCTTCTGTTTGTAGCAATATGGCGCCGCCGTTGACACAGGCTGAAAAATATGTGTTCTTTTGCTTGCTAGGTTTTATGAGAGTCGTGATTTGTATGCCTTCAACTTCAGCTAATATGCATTGCTGGCCATTTTACTTTAAAAATATATTCTTAGTCATTTTACTATAAATGTGTATTTATGATCTTTTTTAATATAAAAATGCATTGCTGGTATTCTTATTACAAGCATCTATTTGTATGCTTTCATAGTGTTTTGTTTAGGCATTCATTATTTACCCATAGCTGGGACCCTAACAGATGCTTCCACCCCGGGTTAGGATAGGAACAACAGCTGATTCCACGTTCCTCAAAAAAAACAAAAAAAAAAAACATCAGAGGGCTTGCTGCCGAATGTAGTTTATCGTCATACCGAGGAATTATAATCCTTTACCTCTTTTTAGCAAAGTACCAGATGCTCTAATCGACTCCGGATTGGAGAAGCATTTCACTCCACAGGTTCTTCTTTCTCTATGGCCACTGCCGATCTGGTAACGGCTATTAATAAATTTGTCTATCAAGATTTAGATAAGAAACGACGAGGATCGAGCTGTAGCTTGAGGTTATCTCAAGGACGTTTCACAAGCTGAATGGCCGTGTTGTCTCTGGCCGAACATTTGAGTATACAATCTCTCATACGAAATCGTGTATTGAGTGCCGTCAAAAAAGCGGGCCATCAGTTCCCAACACGGTATTTATGCTGGTGAGAAAACAATTTACTCCTGTACATTTAGATCTTCCTGCGTATGACGATAAACTACACCCGCGTCCCAAGTAAGACGATAAGCTACGTTCAACAGCAAGGCCTCTGATCAGGAGGCGTTGAGGAGCGTAGAACCTCCTCTTAATTGCTGGTGTTTCCAGGTCCAACCAGACCCGGGGTGGTAGCACCTGTTAGGCTTCCAGCTATGGGTAAATAGTCAACACACAAACTGGGGTGAAAACAGTACGAAAGTGTAAAAATAGGTTTTAATACCAGAAATACTTTGGTAAAAACATTATTACCAGCAATACATTTTCGGAAAAATACATATTGTCAGCAATAAAAAAAATTTCGGCATTGAATAACACACTGAGGATGACGTGCCATAAAACAAAACAAATCAAACCAATATATACTGAGATAGATAGATAGATAGATAGATAGATAGATAGATAGATAGATAGATAAAAAAATATTGTCAGCAATAAAAATTTTGTCGGCATTGAAGTAACCCATTGTGTTTGATATGCGGTAAAACAAAAGAAACCAAACCAATATATACTGAAATAGATAGATAGATAGATAGATAGATAAAAATATTAGCAGCAATAAAATTCTTGTCTGTATTAAATAACCCATTGAGTTTGATATGCTGTAAAACAAAAGAAACCAAACCAATATATACTGAGATAGATAGATAGATAAAAATATTACCAGCAATAAAAAATTTTGTCGGCATTGAAATAACCCATTGAGGTTGATAAACCGTAAAGCAAACCAAACCTTTCCATTTAGATCTTCGGTTTCCAGAAGAATTCCTTCGACTTGTTTGGATGTTGAAAATGTTTATTTTAATTGGAACCATTATCTTAAGATAAACCATAAGATTTTTGTTTTGCAGACAATTCCTTATGATAAATATATTGTTTTATCATCTTGAATAATGTGTCGAAATCGACTTCTGATTTATTCTATTTAGCTTACTAGTCAGACATAAGGTTGCCATTCATCAAATAATTGGTCAGACTTAAATGCCGGTTGCGAAATGGATTCTTCTGAGAGTCGCAAGAATGAGTAGTAACAATATTTAAAAGATGGGGTATGGAAATTAAAAAAACAAATTGCAATTATATTGATATCACAAATTCCGAATATGAAACTCGGTAAAATAAAATAATAAAACGTTGAAAACTCCTAAAATAATTAAGCAAAGGCTACAGATTTTATAAAATCTGTCTTTGATCATTCGACATGAGAAATTCACACCATCATAATTTCTATGATGTTAATCTTGACGGGTGACAAGTGGATGTTAAATTTTGATTTATTTCTTTATTTTTCAGGGCGCCACAAAGTTTCTAGATATAAATATAGATATTTATGCTTAAAATTCAAAGGTTTTCATTTCCTAAATTGGCTGTGAGATATCCCAGTTTTCTCTTTAACTCATAGATGGGAGGGGGGTGAAAACAGAGAGAGAGATCCATAACTTCCCCAAGGGTTTTTTTTTTATGTGCCAAAAGGGAATGTAACCAAATCGGGTTGCCATTTTTTCTTTTCGAGACGTGAAACATTACAATAGCCACACAAACAAAATATCAGTACATCATTGTTGGTGTGTTGGATTTTACAAACACACTGAAGTACAAAGAGTTAAGTGACTGGAAAAGCTTCTTGCGATGTCATTCCCGGTAAAGAGGGCGCGTACGAATATGTTGCAACTCTCATCTCGATTTGAACACGCTTTCTACTGCAGGAAATAAGTACTGACAACGGATAATAACCACATATATATAGATAGATAGATAGATAATGAAGAGAAAAAATGAGATATAGATAGATAGATAGATAGATAGATAATGAAGAGAAAAAATGAGATATAGATCGATAGATAGATAGATAGATAATGAAAAAAAATGAGATATCTAGAGATAGATAGATAGATAGATAATGAAGAGAAAAAATGATATTTCTTGAGATAGATAGATAGAAAGATAGATAGATAGATAATGAAGAGATAGATCGATAGATAATGAAGAGAAAAATGAGATATCAAGAGATAGATAGATAGATAGATAGATAGATAGATAGATAGATAGATGTAAACAGATTAAGATATACAAAGAGTGTGTGTGTGCTTTTGTTTTGTTTTTTTTGTTTTTTTTAAACGGAGAAATGATCGTTGTATTTATTGAACTTTTTCGGCTGGAGACAGCAAAGCCAATAATCATGATAAATCATATCAGCCTCTTTCGTTTCTTTAATGTCACTTTGCAAATAATCAATTGGGATTGGTGTCCAGACTCAGGCCAAACCATTTTTAAACTTTGATCTTCGTTTTCCAGAACCATTCCTTCGAATTGAAGAACATTACGCTGTTGATACTTTTTTTTTTCATTAGAACCATCCTTTTGCGACAAACCATGAGATTTTCTTATGCAGACAAATCCTTATGATAAATATATTCTTTCATTACCTTGAGCAGTGTCCCAACATCGACTTCTGATTTATTTTATTTAGTTTCCTTGTCAGGCATAGGGTAGCCATTCATCAAACAAGTGGCTAGACTTTAATGCCGGCTGCAAATTGAATTCTTCGAAGTGTTGCAAGATAGTTCAGAAACCATATTTCAAATATTAAATATTAACATCGAAAAATAAGTTGCAATTATATTTATAGCACAATTTTCGTATTCGACACCTTGTAAAGTATTTTGAATAATAAAACTCCTGAAATATTCCAGAGAGTTTATTTTTAATATTACGCTCTTCAGAAAATAATTACATTTTTTAACAGAATTAATCGAAAAACAGATGTGAGCGAAATTTATTTAAATATTAAAGTAATTGCGTTTTAGCAAAACTGATTAAAGGAAATGCAATGGATATTTATTTAAATATTAGGGTGTTTGGAAAGTAATTGTGTTTTATCTAAAAGGATATAAAATAAATGTAAGTGATATTTATATTGTGACACCATTTAGGATTGCTAGAAAGAAAGAAAAAGAAAAAAAAAAGAAAAGGCGAGAATTAAATTTAGGTGATAAGAAGCCATCACGAAAAGGACACCAAGCGATGTTATCTTTTTTCTAACGGAGAAAAGGGCTAAAGGTTTTTATTCTCATTAGCGAGGAAAGTAGGGTCGCGGATGTGTCGGATTTAAATTAATTTATGACAACGATAATGAAAATTTCAAGTTGGCCGAGACCCCTACGAAACAGAAACTGGGAAATAGAAATTAATTAAGCACGCACTGACCGAAAAGCAAAATGCCGCTGGATCTCCCACAGGGTGCTGGGAGATAAAAATTAATTAGGTCAAGCTTGACCGAAACCAAAATGTCCGTGGAACCACCTCCATGTTATTTGGGAAAAACACCTGTTTATTGTCAGGGCTGGCTATGATGGCTAAATTAGTTTATCAGGAATAATTAACGGCAAAATGCGATGAGTCTAATTGACCACTCACTTGTTTGGCGAAGGTCCTGGGTGATAAAGTCCAAGTGACATTTGGCTAAGATTGGGTTTGTTGTCGGGCAGAAGGAAAGAAAGAGAAAGAAAAGAAAAAAAAAGAAAAAGGAAGATAATTTTTTTTCTTTGAGCAAGATTTTTTAAACCGAGGCTAGTCTGGCCACACCCACGCCGCTGAGCGCCCATTGGCTGAATGGTAGCGTGAGCGTTAGGCGGAGGTAATCATGTGAAGAATGAGGGGAGGCCTGTTGCGCTCCCCTGAAGGGATAGGTGTGAGATGCTACTGTGAGAGAGAGGGGAAACCCGTTGACACCCTCTGAGGGTATGGTGAGATACCAATATGAGAACAGAGGAAGGTGGGAGGACGAAAAGACTTCCAAAAATGGAAAATAATAAATTTTCCTGACCGAAAACAAAGAAGTGGATTGTGGATTTAGAATCATCAATGAACCTCAAACCCCGACAAGCCCACCCCGGTTTTGGTCGGCGTCCATATAAGCAGAGTCGCAGCGAGTGAAAAGCAGTTAAGTTCGAGTTCCAATTCCAGTTGAGAGGCAGTTGAGTTAAGTTCGCAGTTGGAGTTGCACCCACCTCGCAGATAGCTGACTTGAAAGATTCCACGCAAATTCCGAACTCAACTTCTAACCAAGAACAATTTATTTTTGAAGAACGACTTAGACTCACACCACCAAAACAAGTTTTACGAATATCGCCTGCAGATACACCAAGAACAAGTTTCTTAAAGAACAAACAACTTAAGATGTTAAGACTCGCCTAACAAACACAAAGTGTCACGAATCCATATCGCGGGTTGGGAAGAAGACTCTGTCCTGTATTCAGCAACCAGATATAAAATATTGTTATCCTTTTTTAACACATTTGAACTTTTCGAGTTATTATTTTATTTTATTTTACATATACTTGTGTGGTGTTACCCTTGGCCGGACTCAGCTTGCATTACGGCCCGGCGGCTGATTGATTTCGTCTACCTAAGATCAAATTACAACGTGGGTAGGTTAGACTAGAAATCAAAACAGTTACTTCGGTAACCAGACGTTGGATGCGAGCTGGGAACGACAAGGCTGATACCGAATCTAACCAGATTCCCATCCGAATCAGCAAAAGGTTAGAACGTCACATTTGGTACTGCGACCAATACCAAGTCACATTGGTCGTCACGCGGCCAGCCAGACGTCACATTTGGCGCAGCGACACCGGGGGGAACGTCACATTTTCATATTAGGCTGCTTGGAAATTAATTGCAAAAATGATAATAATAAATGCAAGAGATATTTATTTAAATATTAGGGTGTTTGGAAAGTAATCGTGTTTTATCAAAAAGGATATAAAAATAATTGCAAGGGATATTTATTGAAATATTAGAATGTTTGGAAAATAATTGCGTTTTAGCAAAAATGATAAAAATAAATGCAAAAGTAAATTTATTTAAGTATTAGGGCGTTCAGATAATAATTACATTTTATCAAAAACCATATAAAAAGAAATGCAAGTGATATTTATTTAAATATTAACAAGTTCACATAAAAATTACGTTTTATCAAAAAGCATATAAAAATGAATGCAAGTGATATTTATTTAAATATAAATGTGTTCGGAAAGTAATTGTGTTTTAAAAAAAGCATATAAAAAATGTAAGGAATATTTATTTAAATAGTTAGGTGTTTGGAAAGTAATTCCGTTTTAGCCAAAAAGGGATATTTATTTAAATATTAGGGTATTCGGAAAGTAATTATGTTTTATCAGAAATTATCTAAAATAAATGTAAACTAATTTAAAATAAATATTAGCGTTTTCGGAAAGTAATTAATTTTTAACAGAAAGGATTTAAATTCCAATAAAGTTAAATTTATTTAGACACTAGCAGTATGGCCCGGCGTTGCCTGTGCTTGATTAAAAAATCGTACGACACATACAGCAATCGCTATCACTTGAATTAAAATATTTTTGCCCTTCCTTGCCTTTAAAGGAATGCCCTTTGCCGTGCTGATGTTGCTACATGCCTTACTTCTTGCCTATCTCACACTGCGAATTTTTTCTAAGCTCTATACTAAACATTAAATCTGTTACGAAAAAAGAACTAAACAAAATAAACACAAAACGATCAGCTTTAAAAAGGACTCGTAACTGGAAAAACCGAATGAGAAAAAGAATGTTTAACAACAAATACTTTTTCACACCCAACCCAGTTCTGCAGAATCAGAATCCACGTTGAGTTTAAGCAAGCGAATGGGCCAATTGGAGTAAAGTGCCATGCAGATTTAAATTTTTCCCACTTGTGACGAATGCAGCTATTGATTTTTTTTTTTTTGCATGCTAGCATGCTAGTTAACATTCATGTCAGTCAACTGTTGGCTCTCACGCTGGCCAATAGAATCTTCCTGCCTATTCGTGGCTCTCACTCTGGCCAGTACAAAATGGCCGCAAACTGCATGAAAAATGTCCTAGAAGCATGAAAAAATCGATTATTTCCACTATCGATGGGAGTTGGGAAATGTAAAGTCGATCTTGGCCTTTCCGCTAACCAGGAGCATGTGCATGTAAATTTTGGTGCAAATCTGTCGAAAATTGCGGCCGTGCATTCGTTACACACATATACACATCTTGCCTTTTATAGATAGAGATTATTTAAAAGAAACGTTCTTACTTATTCCCCGTGTTAATAGTTACATTATTTATATTCCGACAATTTTCCTCATAAGTGTTGTTATTTTCACAACGTTTCAATTATTACTACCTCTAGCCTTCATCAGGTGCATCTCGAACCTGAAAAAAAATTCGAAATGCGCTCTTTCTATAATCTACTGAGGTTGATTTTTCTCTTTCTGCTGTGTTTGTCTAGGGTTATTTCGTCTTGTTCTTACAAAGTACAGCTTAAAAAATAATTCAATAATAAATTTAAAATGTTTGAAAGTAAATTAAAAAAAATGAAATTACGTCCATACTCTGAGGGTCACCAGGATAATAATAATTGTTAAATGTCGCAACCAATACTTTTTGGGATATACAGGAATAAGTCTAATCTTGTGTTCTTAAGTTAAATCCTTCCGATGTCTATTTAAAGGGACACCTTCTTTTTTCCATATATAATGAACATTTTGCTTAAAGTTCATATTTTCTTGATTTCAGCTGAAAACTTGGAATTTTTCCAACACATTCCAATGGAATTTTCACTTTCCATAATTATATGTTATAATCATCCTTCAAATAAACGGGTCTTATATTTCTGACTTCATAGACGTTCCAGATGATAATTTTAATTTCATTCTTTTCTTTATAAAACAAAGAAGCCAAGTTATTTGTAACAGAACACGATTTTCGCCTGCTTGAATTATCTCCCCTTATTTTTCTCTTTCCAGATTAAAACCATTTTAAGTGGCTTCATTATTCATGGTTTTCTAGGCAAATGGACACTGTTAATCAAGTCCGTGGGCATGATACTGGGTGTTGCATCTGGACTCAATATAGGCAATGAAGGTCTCTTCATCCATGGAGCTTGTTGCTGTGGCAATATATTTTCTTATTTCTTTCCAAAATATGCCAAAAATGAGGTGAAGAATAGAGAAGTCATATTTTTGTTTTGGTCTATTTATCCTTGTAAATATGCTATAAAGGATACACTCTTTCTTTCCTTCACTACACTTGGGGGG